CGCTTCCGAAAAAAAAAGGGGGGGGGGGAGGATGAAGGAAAAAGTTATGGCAGGCTGCTGATTAGCTTAGTTTGTGGCAACCAAACGTGCATTTACAGATGGGAGGGTCAGTCAGCGCCGTGAGCTGCCGTTACGGTGATTGGTGAACACTCCTTTATTTTTGTCTTGTCTGTCACGTAGCACGTGACCTTTCTTCGAGCTGGCACCTTTGTCTGTTAGTTCTCATTAATATTATGTCTAAGAGAAAAAAAAAGGGGGGGGGGGGGGGACATTTACGCTACTTTCCTTCATTCATACCGAGGGTCTCTTTGTGGCAGACTTGATGGCTTAAGGTTAGTATGCGAGGGATTATGGCTCAGCTGCCAGCTCGAAATTGGATCATGTGTTACGTGAGCCCAACAGGGCAGAAGAATAGAGTGTTCCACACTTACTGTATTGGCTGCTCATGGAGGTGACTGACACTCCCATGTTTTATTACAAATATATAAGATGGACGAAGGGATAACGGCCACCGCAGATCAGTTCGTGCAGCATTGGACGAAATATTCAATGGTCGCAGGTTCGGTCACTGCCAGCGGCAAAATAACTTTTCGTCCACTTTTTTTTTTCGCATTTACAATACAATGACTGCTAATAACATCCGCTACACTTCCCTTGGCAACATTGTCCAAGTTTTCAGTAATAATCGGTCTTCTCTCGCAATTTTGTTGAGGTTTTGTGGCAAGGCACGCCTGCCTAACAAAAAAGCACGCTTTACAGTGTGTGGTTAAATAGTGGCAAACGGAAGTGCCCAATACTGGCGCACAGGGGCGTAGCCAGCGGCTGGCACACCTGACTCGTGCCCCCGCCCCCGAAACGTTTTTTTCGTCATGGCATAGAGAGCGAAAATTGCCATTTTAAGGGGGTGCCCCACCCGAAATCTTGGTGGTGCCCTCCCCCCCCTCCCCCCCCGAAAAAAATTTCTGGCTACGCGCCCGGTGGCGCAGTCCTGCACTTTTTCCTTGCTTTCATTCGTATTTAGAGCCATTTACGTCTAATTGTTCTGTTTCATCTTTCCTCGCGTTGCGCGTTGTCTCATCCCTCTCGCTGCACATTCGCAGGCATCCGCATCTGCAGCGTATGACTCACAGAGGGTAGCGTGCCAGCATTGACACGATTATTTGAAGGTCATGATGACAGAATAACTTCTTTTCAAGTTTTTATTTCAGTGCTTTCGCTATGGGTGTTGAACGCGTTACGTCACAAAATGTACGCATACGCTAGAAATATTGAAAAAGGGCCTACAGCGTGAGCGTGACGCAGTGTGCTTATACAGGACAAAAAACGAGAAGCACAGATACACAGTGCTGTATGTGTGGGTTTCTTGTCGTTTTCTGTCCCGTATCTCCGCGCCTTTTCACGCTCATAATGTACCAACTGGCCCGGCAACAAACATTGTTGCCCACAACTTGTGTCATCTTGTTATGCTTTGTTGCATTGCAGACGAGCGCAACAGAAAAGCACGCTTTACAGAGCATGACCTGACAACGAGCGGTCGCTACAGTAAAAGCTCGTCCATTTAAACTAGAAGGGCATAATATAATTGTTCGAATAAGAGGACATCCAATCAGTGTTTGAGCGCAAGAATGAGTGGCCATCGTGCCACATTGTGTGGGCAGAATTTTAAAAAAGAAACCTTTGAAATCGTTGTTGCAAAGGCGCAACTGCACGCTTGCAGAAGGTGATTTCGTATATTGAGGTCATAGAGTTTTACCTGTGAACAGATTAATTGATCTGTCAGCGTTATACACTAGCCATACACAAGCAGCGACATGCATTCACTTGAGCAGTGAACCTTAACCTCGAAATGTTTGACGGTACGTATGCTCCAAAACACTTTCCTTTACATGGCAGAGTTAACGCGGTCAAACCTATAGCATATTAGTATTTTGCATTTGCTGCCAACCAAACTTTGTAGGCTATGGATGCTTTGTCATGTCAATAAAAATTAATGTTGCAATATATAAAATATCATTGTGGTTGTTCTGTCCCGACTCCATCAGCATCGTTGGGAGTTTTCCCAGCAGCTTCAGCGCAGCATCTGAATTGTCATTTGCGGAGAACTTCCGCTTATTCGCACCTATGGCAAATTTGGTTTGGTTTAGTTTTGCAACCCATTGTAACCCCCTGCGCCGCCTTCTGCAAAGAGCGATAGAGGCCTGAGGACTCCTAGTTAGAATTAACCCTTGTGGATATTCGAATTACTAGGAGTTTGCCCGTAAGGAAATTCACAGTGCTGTGCCGGCATCAAGGCGTCAATCCAAATTAACCGAGTTCGAATCAACGAGCTCTTGCCTTAGTGGTTTAATGCTACTACCCTTAGTGTGCTCTGTAATCACCTGCCCGGTGTTTTATCGGTGGGTGAGTGCTTATAAGCTCTTGCGTGGATTAGATGAGTTAAAGGGGCGATGAACCAGAGAGGAGCACGTGCGTGCAACTACCTTTTCGTCGTTGCTATGCGACCTGTTTGAATCTTACCTTTTTGTCATTACCCCATTGCCCTCACCGTATCGCATCTTTTAGCTAGTTGTAAGGCAGTTGGTCCGCAATGCTTTCTTCGGCCTAAAGTGAATAATCTGATTCACCATTGTTTGTTATGTTGCGTCGCCAGCCGAATACATCGCTCCTTCGGGGGTTCTTCCCGCGGTGTCGTTTTTGGAGCTTCCTTTTTAGCGACGAGCTACTGAAAGGGTAAAAAGAAAGCAGAAACCAATCGTTAAGGTGATGGGCTGTTCGTAACTGATATAATATTTCAAAGGATGCTTCCCAACGATATGCTCGTTTGCCTCGAAAAATGTTTCATTAACCCACCTTTTAGAGTCAGTTTCTAACCTTGAAATCGTTGAGGGTCTTTTTAAAGATTGCTGAATTGTTTTATTTTATCGATACTCACTTTTACGGCACTGAGTAACGAAAAGCAACGCTTGCACTCGTCTTCTTAGTTTCGTCATTCGGGTATATTTTAAACACTCTGCCAGAGGTTGTTATGTAGCGCATAATAACATCAACAAACAGCTTGAAAAGAATGATAAAAGGACGAAATACAGTCCGTGGAAAATATAAGTAGCAGATCGGTTGGATTTGAAGCCAGTGCTTCGCGAAACCTGTAGCATAATAATTTAATATATTGAACACAAAGAAAATATGTGCTTTAACTTCTCGTGCACACCATTTATAAGGGGCTTGGATGGAAAGTTTGGTTTAAATTTGCTGGGGAAACTTTTTGCAATGTAATCTGATCTCAACTACGCTTGAGTGTCTTCCCAGACTTTTCACGGCGAGTTATTCTCGTGTGCTCTTTGACTTCCCTTTCAACCGTCCTTATTTGAAGAGGCTGGGGCTTAGTGTATTCAAGTTCACCGGCGCGTTTTAATCGGGTTAGTTTGTTGAGCGCAAGGAATAAATAGACAGCGCTTCTACAAATATGGGCCGCCTAATGCTTGTTTTAGAGTATTATAATCGTGCTTGCGCGTTTTTTTTATTAGGTTGATATTTGTGTTAGTCTGAAATGGTGTGTAACCGTACGCTTTTTCTTCTCTTTCTAGTGATAATATTGCCGTTGAATACATCGAATTCAACTCTTCCGGTACCACGTATACTTACAGGCTTTCATAAGCGTTATTTTCGCTTAACTTGTTCACATTCTTTAGAACTTTACGAACTTTACCAAAGGGAGTGCAGTTCTCGCTCATAATAATATGTTTGGCTTTCTTGCTTTTCTTTAACAGGGCTCAGTCTGTAGTTCTTTTAAAACTGTCCCAAAGAAAGCTTGACTGTAAGTTGAAAAAATTCTTTAGGCGTTTAGAGTTTTCAAAGAGTATCGCGAGCATCGAACAGTATTGGCTGTGAACTTCAGCGTTCCTCAATGAATAACCATAACTGCATTCGTCGATTTCTCAAGAAAAATGAATGATTTTTCTGAGTAAACACGTTGGCTTCTGTCCGCGCAGTGCTTTCCACTCGGCAACAAGACCGTGTATCGATAACATACTCCCAACTTACGTTCGAAAATTCAGAGACGCGTCGCCCCGCCGCGGTGGTCTTGTGGCTAAAGTATACTCGGCTGCTGACCCGCAGGTTGCGGGATCGAATCCCGGCTTCGGCGGCTGCATTTTCGGTGGAGGTGGCGGAAATGTTGTAGGCCCGTGTGGTCTGAATTGGGCGCACGTTAAAGAACCCCAGGGGGTCGAAATTTCCGGAGCCCTCCACTACGGCGTCTCTCATAAGCACATGGTGGTTTTTGGACGTTAAACCCTACATATCAATCAATTCAGGGACGCGCCGTGTGTCGCTTTCCGATAGCGAGGTTGCGCCATAGGTCTTAGTGGCCGCTTTGGTCAACAAAACCCTTGAAAGGAGCTCTAGAGAGTCGTTGCAGTGGTTTATCATATATATATATATATATATATATATATATATATATATATATATATATATATATATATATATATATATATATATGTGTGTGTGTGTGTGTGTGTGTGTGTGTGTGTGTGTGTGTTCGTAAGAAAGATGTGCTATTCGCCCTGCAACCATGAACAACGAAGCAATGCGAGCGCAAAACGTACCGCTTTCATAGTGAAAGACGAAAATACACTCTAAATATGGATGTGGCAAATGCTTGCCTTTTATGCGGAATTCTTCAGGCGGTAAGAGTTTCTGAAGCGATTTTCTCAGGAGCGTCTTTTTTGCTATTTAGAACCTATACTCCTACATGCACACAGGCTCGCTCCGCTTTAAGTTACAATATCTGTAAAATGTCGCTTTCATTTTTTTTCATTTTTGCCCTCACCAGTCTGGTTACAAACCCGTTACTTCATTTGTCCAAGAAGAGAAGGAAAAGTTAAGCCCACCCGTGACTTGACCTCTCACTTTTCCTCACCCTGATCAAAGCACTTCATTGCGATTTATCGCGTAGACTGAAGCAATGTTCAAACAGTACCCTTCCCGTCTACTTGCAGATTCGCCAACCCCAAAGTGGTGATTGCCTACTGCAAGCTTCTGTCTCACTACCGAACTAACCCACCGGCGACGAATCAGCATGTGCTGCGCATGTTGCACCGTCTCGCCTGGGACCTCAAGATGTACCCGATGCTCTTCCAAGCCAGCGTATTCAAGACTTTCCAGAGTATCATGCATGACTGCTGCTCGCTCCCTAAGGAAAGAGTGGACGGCACTCTGAAGGTGAGTGTAGCTTACTGATCGAGGAAAATGTATTTCTCCCTCTCTCCCTCTTTCTCTTTCCCAGTTTGCATGCTGCTGCTGAATAAATCAGAGAGGCACAAGGCCTCTCTCACATTTTTGTTATCTTAATAAAGAGAAAAAAATAAAAAGGCTAATGAAAATATCAAATAAGATGTCTTGAACTTGGCGAGATGAAACCACAACAAAATGTTTAAGGGGTGCGGCGTTGAAAGAAAGGAAGGATAAAGGTCAATTTTGGTTACCGCGCGTTTTTACGTGCTTCCAACTGTAAGCAGACACGCGTTTCTGTTTCAATTTTTTTTGTTAATTTTCAGCCGCCAAGTCCCCCACAGAGTTCATTGGAAGTAAACTGTTCCTTTAAATGAGGCGTTCAACTTTCTTATCTTCTTTCTTTGATGGATTCTAAATGTATTCTCGCGTACAAATCATTGGTTTATTGCTAGCACAAGTAAGGACTAGTACATTAGACTACAAAAATCCTTAAGATCACAAATGTTAACGTTAACGAAGTGGCGAATTGCCGTCTGCTCACTTGGCCTCGTTATTCTGTAGTTTGCGTGTCCATTTGTGATTGTGTTATTATTGGTATAGACTAGAAGCTTCACACCTTAGTTTCTGTCGTTAATGCACTTCTATTATGTAGTGTGTGTTGCTAAGCGTTGCATATAACTGTGTACGCCTAAACTGCTCATCCCTAAGTAGTATAATCGTTACTCAAGTTGGGGCAGTTTAGGGGCATTCAGAAACGTGTCTAATCAAGCATGAATTCGTGCCTCGTCTGAATTGTACGTAACGACCGCCGGTGTCATTGCGTTTCAGGAACTCTCTCGCCTCGCAACGTTTGTCGTGCGCAAGTTCGTTGCCGCGGCTCAGGAAAACAAGATTGCGTTCGCAGAGTTGCTCTTCTGGAAGAATACGAAGGACGCCTACGAACTGGTTCACGGCTACGGCAGCGGATCGAAGTGAGTTGGTTGATTTTTTTTTTTTTTTGAGTAAGGTTTTGTTTTGTTTTCTTGAATAGAGAGAGTGAGAGAGAGACATAAAAAGAAGGGAGTGGGTGAGGGAGGTGGAAGTAGAGGTTTTCTAAAACTATGAATTTGTCGTCTTACATGAGACGTTGTATTAAGACCGAGCCTCACTGAAGTTAAAAAGTCAAGTTTTTTTACGTAGCGTTCTAGGTAGATATACAGGGTGTCCCAGGTAACTTTAGCCAGAGTTTTAAAATATGCCGGCACACGCGATTACGACGCGACCAAATGCATGTTGCTCTCACCGTTGCCTAGAGGTAGTTGGACTATTTTTTGTGTTCTCAAATATTGTTTAATTAGATATGTTTAATTAACTAACTTTTCAAGAAACAAAGATAGATCAAAATGCATTGATAAAGTTGTAGATCGGGTTGCAAAACGTCTGATTAAACAGTTTAGAACTTTATATCTGTTAGGTATTAGTGTTTTTTTTTGCTAATTACAAATGCTTGTGAAATACAAAAAAATACCACGTGACAAACCCGCTCGTGCTCCAGTGCGCACAATTATTCTAGTGCTCCCTAACGTTCCGCGTACGAACGACCATTAGGATTTGCCCGATTGTGCTGTCTCGGCAGGGCCGCAACGCTGGTGCTGGCTTCGCGATCAACGCGTTTTTCTATCGGCCACAAAAAACGATAACCGCTGTGACTGCTTATCGCTCTCGTGAACCGGTGCGTGGGAAGCGTGTCGTTCTTACGCGAAACGTTATAGAGCACTAGAAACATCGTTCGCACGGACGCGCGAGCGGGTTTGTCACGTGGTTCTTTTTTGTATTTCGTGGGCATTTGTAATTAGCAAAGAAAGAGTAATACTTAGCAGTTATAAAGTTCAAAACTATCTATTTGGACATTTTGCAAACCGATCTACAACTTTCTCATTTAAATTTTTTATCCGTCTTCGTTCCTTCAAAAGTTAGTTACTTAAACAATCTAATTAAACCAATACTTGAGAACAAAAAATAGTCTGACTAACACCAGGAAACGGTGAGCAACATGCATGTGGTCGCGTCGTAATTACGTGTTCCGGCATATCTCTAAACTCTGACACCCTATGGGCGATAGCGTTTGCGTCAGTACAGAACCACCAGTAACTGGTCATTTTTTTTTTTGTGTGGTCCTGTGAATGTATTCCTACCAGCACACGTTAGTGAAATTTTCTTTCCTTTTTTGTAATGCTTTTTTTTTTCGGTCTATCCTTGTGTGCGCGTACCTTTGCGTACCTTTATCAGGCTTTGCGCTGGCATGTTTGTAGTGGTTGTCTACGTGACCTTTTAAGCTTCATTTTAGATGCGCATTAATTCGGGAGTGGAAAGGATCACGCTCAGAATGACTAACGCGCTGACTTACTCAAAAAAAAAGAAAGAAAAAAAGAATGCCCATGGTGATGGTGGGCAAGTAACTGACTGTTGGTCACTCTTTCTGGATAAGTATTAGCAGTGCTGGGTTGGTGCTATAAAGGAACGAGAGGAAATGCGCTAATCGAAATTCGGGCCACATAAGCGTATTGAGTAGCATATCGTAGAAATAATGAAGTGAGTACGAGCGCTTTCTGTTTGGCATATGGAGCTGCATAAAGTTTTGTTATAGCACCGTGACTCCTTCCCGAGCTTATGTATTCGAAATAGAGGCCTTCAGGTTGGACTTGAGCCGGCACATTAGAATCATTAGTTATACAGATATATTCGTTGCACGAGCATTCGACTGTACGCACACCTTGGCTACTAAACGTACTTTTAGGTAAGTGGACTTTTCCAGAGGCCGGATTAGCCGTAAAACTGGTCATAAAATACATTTAGCTCTTTCACGGTGGGTAGGCAGCACGGAGAAGTCTCAGAGAGGTGATTTTCGTGTGGTGAAAATGAAATATCACCGCGTAAAAGCAGTGAAATGGAGTGGCAGTGAAATAATTGGCAGCCTGCCGTCTTCCGGCTTGCCTCCAATGCGTTCCACTTGCGATGGCGCTCATTTGGCTGCTGATGTACTCACTGCGAAAGAGCACGAACGCAACAAGAGAATGCAGAAAAAAAAAAGCTTAGATGAAGTAAGGTATAGCAGATATAGGCTGGCTGGGGACACGGGACTAATTTCCTTTTACTTGTATGGACGTCTGTTTCATATGCCCAGGCTTCAGCCTTCAGCATGAATTTAAACGTTAACATATTCCAAAAAATATAGATTTATGGGTGACCTGGTAAATACTTGCTGAAGCGAAGGAGCGCGAAAATTCTAGCATTAAGAGCCAGCGCTAATCCTTTTTGTTGTTTCTTTCGTCTCTAGTGTAGCTTGTTTGATTGCGGTCTCTTCAATTAGCAGTTATCTTTTTTTTTTTTGTGGCGTGCTATTGTTCCTTCCGGCGAGGTTTCACATTCGGTGCCGTCATGCGAGTGAATTGTTCTAGTCGACCTTCTCGTTATGGTTAAAAGCGAAGATAATCTTTCTCAGTTGCGGAATCTCACTTTTTTTTTTTCCTGTGTAATTTTCCCAGCGGCGCTCGCTTTCGACCGAAGCTTTTAAGAATTGGCGGCTTCCATTGGCGCCTGGATTCTTCGAAAAAGCGGCTAGTGTGCCCAGTATAGCGGATGAGCGGATGGTAAAACAAAAAAAAAATCATTTCACTTCGCGGATAATGTTGAGTTCGACGCCGTGGTTCAACGTGTCCCACAAACCTTTGCCTAAACTTGCCTCCTTTCTGTTTTTAATTTTCCCGGGAAATGCGTCGAGGGAGTTTCACGAGATGGGAGGTTGAAAGCGCTTTCCTCTCATGGAAATGAGAAAGGTGGGCGCTAAGAAAAACAAGAACTCGCGAGACTAGAATTTGAGAGGGAGATGGGAACGAGAGGAGAAGCCGTAATAAGCGGGAATGCAATGAAAGCAGAATAGAGAAATGGTTGCTTGGAGGTGAGGAAGCAAAAAAAAAATAATAATAAGTTTGGGATATATATGTGCTAACGTTGGAGAAAAACTTCGGAACTCGCAGGCAGATCTCGCTCTCTCACTCTACCGCTGTCTTGCTGCTTTCTGAAGAAATGGAATGGGAGCGAAAGAGAGGAAGAAAGAAAGAGCTCAACTGAATTGGGGTGGGTGTGAAAGATGAAATGCGTCGTCGGCTCGCGTCCCGTAAGAGGCATGGAGACGAATGCCTAGCCAGTCGATATATGGCTTCGCGTTAGCCGGTTAACGTCGCGGATCCGCCAGCCATCAGTAAGAAAGAGTAGGCTAAGTGAGTGAGGTCGGCCTTTATACCCACGCCATTTCTTTGTGCTTCTTTTGTTATTTTATTGCCTTCTTGCGTTTACTTCTCGCCTTCTCCTGATCCCACTGCTTCTCCTTCTTCTTTTTTTCTTTAGCTGATGTAAGTTCAGTGAAGAGTGGAAAAAGAAAGTGTCCTCGGTGGAAGTCTCGGTAATCAAGGAATGGCTCTGCGAACGTAATAAACTATGAGAGGAAAAAAATAAACGTATGAACATTCGCAGGACTGAATTGGAAAGAGCGTCGTCCTGAACTCGAGTCTCCAAGTGCTCTGCCTTCGTTTCAGAGATAGATGTCCTCACTATATTACCCCCTTCTTCGCCTACAGCTATTGGGTCGCTGTAGTAGTACTTCCTGGGCACTTCGTTGTTGCTGTAGTTGCTTGCTACGCGCATGCTTCCCTTTCAATCTTCTTTTATCTCTCTCTCTAAATGCTCGCAACTTCGTAAATAGTGCGGTAACTTTCAACTATGCGACAGGACTGGGCCCACTATTTGCTCTTTTCGTTTTCTTTTAATTTTCAACGCTGTTGATTTTGAAGCGCTACAAAGTGTAGCTATCTTTTCGGTGCGTAGTAATGCATTTTTGCAACAGTGTGCAATAGGCCAGCGCTTCCGCTGTATTTAAGTTTGTTGGTGCTTTTGAGGAAGCTTAGCCAAGTCACAGTCAATCTGCGATCACTGGCTCGCTGAGTAATAATGCTTCACGTGCGTCTACAGTAAAATACTTGCCACTCCTATTTTTTTCACATACCAAACAATAGGCGGTGCTACGATTGCTGGTTATTGGAGTTGTCAACACTTACACTGAGATTAGCTAAAAACTAGCATGACAGGATATATGACAAGAAAAACATACGGTGACCTTCATAACATCGCGTTCGGCTTAGTATGTAATAAATTGTGAAAGTATTTAATAGGGAGTTTTAGTGCTGGGTACGCAAGCTCTTGGGGCGTTGCGGGCTTGGGGGCGCGCGGCGTTGCGTACCCAAGCCACACCCAACTGGAATGCCTTATAGAGGCGCGCACGCAAACGCAACCCGCACGAAGGTCACACGCGCTCGCAGTGCGCCATAGCGTCTTAATTGTCGCGTAAGTATTATTTAATTATGTGTACGATTTGAAATGTTAAATTAAATTTACATAGTGACATGAAGTACACTAATTTCAATAATTCATTTTTAAATATGACAGTTATCAACACGAAACAAAAAAAAAACTTTTTCGTATGCGCCACACTTGCGACTGAAGCCGGCATCATCGATGCCAAGAAATCCAGACGGCCGGTCGTAGTCCGACAAGCGCGACGACAGAGCAATGGTGTAACGTGTAACTCTGTGTAACTTTTAGCTTGTACGTATACTTCTTTACGTTAACGTGTTACCGGATACCAGTTTGCGTTTACCGTCCTACCGGAACGTGCCTCTTCCAAGGTTTTGATCTCATCATTCGCAAACATGTATGCCTTTACGTTTCTGCGAACCATAAATGGTGATGCTAACTGCATTTAACTTATAGAGGAATGAATCACCGTTGCGGCAAAATCACGAGACTTTTTTATCGCAAAAAAGTGAAAAATACAAGGTTACTGTAACGACAGTGTCGACATCTTGAGACACTTCGTGCAACCAGTCATGAACATGCTGGCTTACGCGTAATGTTTTTGAGGTGAAAATGAATAAAAAGGTTACTCATTTGTAATAACGCCGCTGCGCGGTTTTTGCACCAGACGTAGAATGAACAATGTTTCTGCAATAACAATGTTGTGATTACCTGGTTCACTATGGCCGCGCTAGATGGCGCCACCTATTCGGCTGGTCGGCGGGGCTAGTTTCTATGTTCCAGACCATTCTAGCTTTGTTAATCGAGCGGAAACAATTTAATCGCTATTGGTGCTCGCACTTTGGCTTATTTTAACTCGACGGCTAGAGTATCCACAGTGTAGATACCATGAATTCCTGCGAAGCTGGACCTTACAAGGCGGCTGATTAATGCTGTCCGAGATTTGGTGCCTTTCTGCCATGCTATTTGTGTAGTGGCTAGCCACTATATTATTTGCGCTTAAAACTTGAAAGTCAAAGTGGTGGCTCTGGCCAGCCTCGGCTTTGCTCGCCTTGAAGGTGGGTGACGTCACGGGTACCATGATGCGCCTAGCATGTGCGCCAGGGCAGCTTATCTTCGCTAGGAGGCCAGTGGTGGCAGCGTTGTTTATGGCCGCGCGGATGCATAGCCCCAGCGATCTTGCAACGCATCTGTTTGGGGTTTCGCGCATGCGCAATACCGCCGCCCCAACGTCTTGGGTACGCAAGCCGCTTGGGTACCCAGCACTGAAACTCCCTATTGACTGACGGTGATGCTGTGAAGAAATTCCCGCACCTGCTTAGTGTGTGACTTGTGGAAGTTGACAACGTTGACAGTACCTACGGAGCTCTATTTAAGGTGCGCAGTTAGGAGGTATTACATTGCGTTTCAAACGTGAACCAAATTGCAAAATACATAAAAGGACCCAGTGTCGTTTCCTGCTAAAGAAGAATGCTACCGTAGTTGGATACATAATATCTGCGACGTCACAGGACGTTGGTGTTAGTGGGTGGAATTGTAATGCAACAAGTTGAACTATCTTTTCTCCCCGTGTTTGTTAGCCTTATTTATGGCCAAACGCCAAACCTAAAGCAGTGGGGATATAAAGAAATGCTTCTGTCGGCCTTTTATCAGCCATTTGAACCACGTTGCTTTGTACTACCTGCGCTTGTGTTCGCCTTGTTCTTCATCTCCTAAGTCTTCATCTCCTATTCGTCTTTTAAGCAGCGCGCAATAACGTAACATTGAATAGCTACAACCTCGCCTAAGCAAGTAGCCTTATCTGTACTACCATTTAGTGATGGTGTACGTAGTTGGAAACTCTCAGAGTTATTCATGCAACCACTCAATGGCGAAAAGCGACTTCAAGACGACTCAATGGCTGAAAGGGATCCTCTTATTTTTCTTCTTTCAGTCGTTGTATCGATCCTCGCCCGCCCCCTACAGGAAGTATTCTGCATCCGACGTGGTTTTGTACTGCCTTCATCTTGTAATGCGCTGCCAGGTATGACACGGACCGATAAAAATATCGAGAGACAACAATGCGTATACCTGGCAGCACATTACAATGCGGAGACTTAACCACTGGCTCCTGTTGCAGACCTATTATTCATACGGTTTAAAGGAATTTGAAGAATTGCAAACCTTCCTGCAGCTCGCCTAATTTGGCACCTGCCGTGATCGGTTCACTTTTGACAAAGCGACGGCTTCTTGTGATGACGTCATTATGTGACGTTGCATATTTGGCGTATCAGTGGCCTGACGTCACGCGAATTTCGGTGGTGCGTGACATTGTGATGGTGTCGTGACGATTTTTCGCATTTCTTGTGCTGACACCGATGGTCGACCCTGGCGTTATATGAGGCGACTGGGGCATTCGCTCTTGCAAAAAGTGCGATTGCGCACTACGCTGGCAACCTTTTTGCTCTGTGGACAATAACCGAAGAGCATTGTACGACATGCGATTATTGAGCGTAGTCCAAGGCGAGAGCGACACACTTGATATGCATTGAAGCCGCTGCTAAGGGCGAGCCGAGATTGCACTGTGAGCTTTCCGAAGATGCCTCGAGGCAGCACCGTTTATCTCGCTCGCTGAAATCGATGTGCTGGCGCCCGGAAGCATCGGCAAGGCATTTGCATAAGCGACCGGCGGCAGGGAGAGGCTTATTTCGGCGGGGTCAGTCCGACTGCATGTACGAAGTCGGAGAAATAGTTCGAGGCCGCGGGGCCTGCGTGCCGGCATTCATTCTCCGCGGGTCGCTGCGCTGGCGGTGCTCTTGGAGACGCCGGAGAAACTAGGAATATACGCGTACTTGATCTGCCCTGTATATAGATCACGGGCTCTAATGTTGCGCGCTGCTGAACACTGCGGCATGAGATCGATTTCCAATGTAGGCAGTGCGGCGATTCAGTGTGAAAAAAAAAAAGCAGAAATCCTCGCATACTGCACCTTTGGGGCAGGTTTAAGAAACTCCCGATGCCAAGTTCTTCGCTTTTTCCCGCAACGCCGCCACTATCACCTGCTGTTGAGTTTCAGGCGTAGCATACGCAGTGCAACTATGCGTTGATTGTATTGGCAATGCTGTTTTGTGGACGATCCAGTAATGCATACCAAATGCAACTTGACGTTGATCATTGTGACAAAGCTGTTGTGTGGAAACGCACGCCTTCTGCGATACAACATCGTGGGTATTTGGGGAAACGAAAATAACCTTATAGGATATTTCGTCTATCACTGTGAAAATGGAAGCCAACAATCCATCTAGCTCCTAAACCCCTTCTTTTTTTTTAACCCAATAAAGTTATTTATCTCTCTCTCTCTCAGTGAAGTTGTGAATATGGTGGGTCGCGTGTAGCGAATATTGCCTAAGTTCACATATTTATTATCATTCGTGGCTCAGTCAAACGAATAGTCTCTCAAAAATCTCAGTGTTCGTTTCTCTTGCGCTTGACATAAACAATCAGATCAACGGCGGCTCATGACGCTCATGAATGAAATCCTTTTGTACATAAGTAACCAGGTCGTTTCAAAAGTACAAAAATGGGGTGGCATTCGTTTCTTACGCAAGTAGTTTTGGCTTTGAAGCAATATTGTTCATTTTATTCTGCCATGTTAGCTTAATCTTGCCCATTTTGTATTAATTTTACGGCATGCCCGTTTCTCTGACGCAAGAAAGTATTATTACACGTGTTAATCTGGTAGCTGAAAATTGTTCTTCGATGTATATTGTGTCCCGTTACGCTATCCACCTAAACCTATCAATAAAACGCCTCATAGTAGTAATAATACGTGTGGCTTCACGTCCCAAAACCACGATATGATAAAAACCTACGTAGCCATATGGTTATGTTCATTTAGTATACCCTATAGTTTCTCGTTGGAGGTGAGATTAAAAAGTTCGCAGGTAAAACGTGGCAACGGAAAACACAAGTTCGGGCTGATTGCCGGAACACGGGAGAGGCTTCTACCCTGCAGTGGGCGTAGTCAGGCTGATGATGATGATGATGAATATGGTGATGATGAAAACTTTTTATTGCGCTTTGTCGCTTATAAACCACCGTGCTGATTCGGAACGTTAGAAATCACACCTAATTCAGTTTAATTACGAATTCGTATGTAAATGCTATGAGTGCTTTCTCGTTGAAGATGACGTGGTTTCTCTAAGCTTGAAGTCCAGACTAAGAGGAGAGCAGGTATGATATTTTATTATATTTATTGCTACGGTAATGCGACAGGTTGGACCAAAAGATGAAGAGGATGAAGAGCGCTTGGCTTGCGAGTGTTTCGGTGCCAGGCGGCAGTCATTCAGTCATGTTTTTCCATCTGTCCATATTCAAATAAACATCATATATATATAATATATACTAATGTATACGCGTGTGTGACTGGACCGATTTTCTCGGCATTCATCCTAAGATTTCGTGCCCGCATTTTGTTGCAGGAAACCCAGCAAGGTTGCTTGGACTGAAGAGCAAGTCTATGAACTCAAGGTACTCTACGAACGTTACAAGGAGGAGATGACGCCAGGTGAGATATTTTCCAGAGTGCCAGATAAGCCCTCTAAAGGTGGTGTGTCACCAATTGTTATTTAGGGACGGCTTACTACTCTCCCATAGTTGAGTGCGAAACACTCGAAATCGTAGAACACTTCTAAACACAACTGTGCTCCGGCTGCCGTGTTGGTTTATGTTTTCTGTTGGTGTTTCATGTCGGTGTGGTATTTGTGCTTGGTACTGTTATGCCTGCGAGTCCACATCGAACGTCCATGCCTTTGAAAAAGGCAATCTGTGTCAAGGCCAGCACGCGAGCCCGTCTGACGCGAACAACTCAACGGCGCAATCACGCGGTGGTGCCTTTCTGCTGCGCACGCACAGTGAGTCACCTCAGCCCACGAGCCCGTTGCAGCAATATGCGCCTTCCAGTCTGGCGAGTCTTACGCAATGCGTGGTGGCGTCACTCGTCCTTGGGTGCAGCCACGTGCAGCGGCTCCGCATTCGATGAGAATGACGCGGCCCGGCAGCGAAACCATTGGAGGATTCTGACCTCACGACCAGCGGCGCTTCTGGTTGGACGTTTGGTTACTCAAAGACTCCACCCGGTGCATATAAAAAAAGCCCTGCGGCGCGTCGCGAGCAGTTGACTTGTGTGTCAGAGAAGAGAGCGCGGCTCTTCGAGTCTCGAAACTGTCGGCCCCAGTGCCAAATTTTTAACGCCTGTGTATATATGCTGCACATAAACCTTGTTAACTCACCGTCGTCTCGTCCGCTCGTCTATCAGCTCTGCGCAGAAGCAGACGCGAGCTGATAAACCTACGCTACCAAACGGCTGGTGACCTTCCCGGCGCAGTTCGAAGCAGTGGCGCTTTCGAGACCGTGTTGGCGTCGCCGTCTTTCGTAACAGTCGTGGCAGCGGCGAGATTCGTGGCGCCCTTCGTAACGTCGTCGGAGGCGCGCTTCGTAACAGTACCCAGAAAGTGTTTCTCTGCGGCCATGACGCGCATTCTGAGCTGTAGAAGTTTCATGTATACAATGGCTAGTTAACATCATGAATGATGGCCGAGGAAAGTCTTTTTAATTGAAGCACAAACAGCCAGTAGGCCCCCGTTGCATAAGCGTGCAGCAGTCGCCAATTTTATGAGTAACGATATTAAATCAGACCTCAACATTGCTTCCTAACTTCGTGCGTCCTAACCAGAAGATCGCGGGATTGAAACCGGCGTCGGCGGCCGCATTTTCGATGGAGGCCGCAATGTTTGCGGTTCCTGTACCTAGATTTAAGTACACGTTAAAGAAACCCAGGAGGATGAAATTTTCGGAGCCCTCCTCTATAGCGTCTCTCATAATCATATTGTGGTTTTAGGGATGTTAAACGCCAGATATTGTTATTATCATTAACAATAATATTCACTACATACGTCACAACTGACAACGAAGTCTCCATATAATGTCAAAGACATGTATGCAAATAAATGAAATTGACACATGCAGACGAAATCACATCTGTACGGAGCGCGCGTGAGAACGTCAAATTTTTTCTTTCTTGTCCCCTTCCCTAATCCCCCAGTTTAGGGTAGCCAACCGGATGTCTTCCTGGTTAACCTCCCTGCCTTCTCCTTTTTGTTGCTTCCTCCTCCTCCTTGCTTGTTGGAACAATATCGATAGCTGAAGAAAGTGGATCCATCATGCAATGCCCCATATGTATACGAATGCTTGTGAAGTAGAATGCTTGTGAATACGAATGCTTGTGAAATAAAAGGGCTGTTCCGCAGGCAATGTTCCGCTATCCGCTGCAGCCACGCGGTGGCGGGTGGCAAGATAATTCGACCCAATAGAACTAAGTTATGTTAGTCGGATTTTCGCTTGTAAGTTCTGCGGGCTTACTATAATGGCCGAATCGAAGTCGGCTCTCTGTAAAAGCCAGAAGCCAGCTTCATAGCAAGTTATAACGCAATCTTTGCCGAACTGTGGCCTGATCAGTGGCACAGGCTCGGAGCGCACGAAACTAGAGCTTAGAGCGGCAGCCGCACACCCCAAGGTAATGTTGGTGCTTGCGTCACAGACCGACGCGCAGTCGACGCACGGCGGCCCCATCTGCGTCGAGTGGTGGTCGCTGCTTGCCTCTTAGGGCCGGCTCACGCTAGCGGCTAGTCTGTCCTGACGGCGCAGGAGGGCTGTTCCAAGTGCACGGCAAGCTTCGCCGGCGAGGCACTTCAGCCTCCGACAAACATGGCCGCTGTTCCGAATGCTGTTGTCGACCACCTCGAATCTGTCAAGTGGTCGCCGTGCGCTCTGTAGCTCGTAAACTCCGAACTGATGCTTCCATTCGCTTAGGCTGATGGCTTCAAGCTTCGACAGCAAAGTACTCTAATCGATTAAGCACCGTTTCTGGGAATCATACTCAAATAAATATTGTTGTAGGCTTAAGCAAGCCTTCCCTTATCACGGAGGGCATACGTTACACGTTTGTTAGTTCTCACTAACCTTGGATAGCAGGCGCCACTTGTGGAAACGCCTGCTTTGGGACACGTTATTTTGAATTATGCTGCGTTTTTTTTTTCTATACCGGAGGAGCTAAAACGCTCTGATAACTGTTGTAGCGTAGTCTGGGAACAACACGTACGACATAGCGTGAAAACCGTGGAGGAAGAAACAGCTGGAAGTGTCCCGCTGCAGACTCAGATGATGCGGAGATCCGCAAGCAGAATAGGCGGCTCACTCATGTCGCTCCTCCGTTGCTCTCCGGCAAAAGGCGCGAAAATAGGTCTTGGACTCATTCTTCGAACGGCAAAGAACAGCATGCAGACGTGCGCGAAGAAAACGGCCGCGCACGGCTGCCCGACAACGTCAAATGACGAGGCATGCTTGCCGCTAGCGTGAATCGGCCCTTGCTTCGGGACCGTAGCACATTTAGCAGGCTTTCACCGTTTCTATCTGTGAAGGTGTGGGACCAGCGAAGCTGTGTAGCTCACGGCACATAGGTGACACTGAACTTTGGTGAAAGGCTCGGAGAAGCAGAGATGATCACGTTTGAAATGAGCGCATATACTTTTGAAGGTCTCTAAACAATTTCCGATACATTTGTTATTTAAGATTTCATGTAAACGCACGCATCCAGTTTAGAACACCGTCATTATGAATAGGTGACCGATAATATGGGCAAGCGCAGAGAATTGTGGAATACGATGGGTTTCGGTTCGATTCACCACGCGGGTTAGCAGCGGCAACCGTGCATTTTTTATCGCTCCGTTGGAAAAAGCACCCCTCCGCGCAATCTCAGTGCTTTAGAAGTTGTTTTTTTTTTTTTTGCTAACCGTGACTGCGACGATGACAAGCTACGAAAGCCACGAATGGTAAGGAAACTTTTTATCACACTAAAATTATCTGCAATGCTTTTATGCTGCTCGGGGGCACTGTCAGTTTCACTAGCAGATCAGTCGATACATAAGGCAGTTTTCATTGTATGATACGTTACTGCAGATAAAAACCACCATTTTAAAGATCTCAGCGGATGGGGATGGCTGTAGCAGTAAGCTGACAGTTCATTTTGGGATCGCTGCTTCGGCCGACATCGTCGTCGGTTGATCGGCATGAAGCGCAGCACTTATTGAGCGCGTTAAGGTATCTTTTTTTCTTGCCTGCTGCGCGCTATAAGATGCATTTTTTAGTCGAAGCCAGATTGTTATTTTAACGCTGTTCTTGGTCAAGCTGCATGGCACGGCGGCACATAAACAATACAGTCAGACATAGACGGCGCCGAATAATCGAAACCCTGCGCTTGTTTACGCACTTCTTCCTTTGTGTGCAGTCCTGGAGCACAGTTTGGTCAAGATAAACGCAAATGGACTCCTCCAGCACTTCCTGTAAACTTAAGGCTGGTGCACACCGGCGACTAGCAGCGGTCGCGTGACCATTCGCGACTGGGGACCAAAAAGCGACTGATGTTCACACCGGCAGAGGCTGCATGCGAGCGACCGGAAGTCGCAATAGCGGAGAGTCACGTGTGGATCTCGTTATCAGTGAGAACTCTGCAGACCGGCGCCGATCAGCTGATCGCCGCCAGCTGAGTGAGCGGAGCAAACCGAGCGCGCCGCATTTGTTGTTTTTATCCCTTCTTGCGCGTTTTTTTTTTTCTCATATATATGGGTCCAATGGCCGGCGTTCATCTTGTATGGCAGGTAGATCTCGCCGGCGCGTTCCCATGATACCTTTGCTAGTCGTGCCTGCGCGACAATTTATTTCTCGATATAATATTCGCAGCAAATTCATGCGTGAACTTTTTATTAGTGCGGAATACACACGTACCTGTGACAAAATGGTTTTCGCACACTCTGACTTCAACGTTCCGTACTCAAAGGCTACCTGTCGCTGTGGCTCTCTTCACAGTCGCGGTCCACTTCATTTTCCTTTCTTCATTCCATGGGTATCGATACCTGCGTTTGCCTTTCACGCTCGAGTTGGAACAGCCAACGGCTGAACAACCGACCGTGGTTTATCAGGACGAAAATAAACGGGTGACCGCGCGCGCGAAACCCCAATAATCTAAGACTTGCGGTGGAGTGGTTCGCCGTCGTCTACTCTTCTCGAACCGGAAGTTGGCAGCAGACGGCGCATTCCACAACCCCTCGCTATTTTACTGGTCACCTATTGATTGATTGATTTGTGGGGTTTAACGTCCCAAAACCACGCTATGGTTATGAGAGACGCCTTAGTGGAGGACTCCGGAAATTTTGACCACCTGGGGTTCTTTAACGTGCACCCAAATCTGAGCACATGGGCCTACAACATTTCCGCCTCCATCGGAAATGCAGCCGCCACAGCCGGGATTTGATCCCGCCACCTGCGAGTCAGCAGCCGAGTACCTTAGCCACTAGACCACCGCGGCGGGGCCACTGGTCACCTATTCTACTCAACGAGGCAGCGCTAAGTGCCACGGGTGCCCCCACAAATTTCAAGAAACAATCTCTTCTCCTCTTCGCGCCTTTCGGCGTTCCTGATTCCCTCGGCGTTCGCTGTTACGTCAACTCGTCT